CCTGTAATGATCATTTTTAACTTGAGTGATTTTGATTTTTTTTTTAAATTTGAAGCTGTTTTTGTTTCTGCCAATTTATTGCCATCTCTGTATATGAATAATTCTTGATATTCCAATAACAAATGATAGACTATCACGTTGTTTCCTATCTCTGCCGAACTTTAATTTAAACTAGGAATTTGATTTGCTCTTACCGCCTAGGTATTAATTATAACTTTAGTAATTTGCAAGCAAAGCCGGACCGCTATTTTTGCCAACGTCTTTAATTTACAGGATATTAAAACGTTCAATTATACCCTAGATACCAAAATGCAATGCAATTTTACAAAGTGCCGATATTGGTGAAAAGATCTATTTTGTGTCTGCGACAGTTCAGTGTTAAGATATTACTCGAATTGGTGGAGAGTCTGCTTTACACAATCAATGTTTCTGTTGTAGGAATTTTGCATCGCTACATTCTAAGTTTTGAAGGATTTGTAAGAAGGAATTTACTCGGTGTTTAACACAATTCCTTCAAACATTTCTTACAAATCCTTCAAAACTTAGACTTCACGGATGCAAAATTCCTACTGTGATCACAGAAACTTTGATAGTGTCAACCAGGCTTTGAAGAAGAAGACTAGCCTGCAAGCAGGCGTTGCAAAAGGAGACCCGGAACCATTGCCTGGAACATAAGCTACCACTAACCTCGGTAAATGTTAAGCCAATTAACTTGATGCTTCCTGAAACCTATATAAGGCATGATCAATGTATACTTCTAAAAATCCTTCAAGTGCGGATTAATTGAGAGAGTCAAGAAGGTTAAAATGCAGAGCATTTCACTGTTACAGCATTTGTATTACTTTGTGTAAACCTTGGCCTTGAGCTTGGAAAATGATACACTGGTCGCTAAAGAAGAGAGAAAACCTTGACGGGATTTTATAAACTTTTATATAAGGACGAGTTAGAGAAATCGGGTCCACTTATGAAATGGATCTTTTTAACGACTTATTCTGCAGCCTAAATATATTTTGTAAATCGAGTGTTATTCAATTATATTCCCTTCACACATATAAAGCAAAAAATCTTCGCATGTGAGACATGGCCAAAGTCAGGGCCGTACCCAGCGGAAGGGGGGGGGGGCAAGGAGGGCAACTGCCCCCCCCCCCAGAGAAAACTATATTTACGATTTTGAGAATGTCATTAATTATTCTTTGGATATTTGG